GTGTAGCGATTCACGGCGAAAGCTGCGCTGGTTGCTGAGCAGGACTTCGGAAGCACTCCGCCCCCAAAAGCGATCCGCCCACTAGTTTACTTGGTGATTTGGACGAGCTGCGTTGCCAACAGCGGCACAGCCGGGGCAACTCGGCGAAAGCGTGCACCAAACTCGTTGCGATGAACTCGTTCATACATCCGCTTTCTGAGTTGTTACCTGTTTATGAGTGACCAGTTTAGCTCCGCACGCTACCGCGCACGTGACACGGTAGCCTTCTTGAAACTGGATACCCTGTTGAAGGTCCCACAGCTGAAGGCTTCTCATTTTTGCTGAACCTCACAGTTCCATGCGAGCGATAGAGTGCACAGCTAAAGGCCGCGTTCATAGTTCGCGACTCGGGAGATTAGGATAGTAGGCGATAGTATATTAGGATAGTAGTAGAGTAGGAGAGCGCACTATCCTAATCTACTACTATCCTAATCTCCTACTCTACTACTATCCTACTATCGTAATATCGCAATCTACTACTCTCCAGCGATTTCAATCGATACGTATCTAATCTTGTCAGCGCAATCTCCTACTCTACTACTATCCTAATCTCCCCGTCAATACATATGTTTTTCATTGTCGCGTACTATCCTAATCTCCGGAGTCGCGAACTATGAACGCGGCCTAATAAAAGGATAAAGGATAAAGCATTTGCCGTTGATCAATCCCTTTTTGGGATGCGGCACGCATTCTACTTCCATTTGTACATTCGTAGTGGCGTTTGAATGCGATGTGGCCTATACAATGACTTGCGGGGGCCAGCCGATGTACAAGTCAGTGTTTTTATCCTCCCAGACAAGTCTGGTACCAATTAACCGACCCCGGAGGGATGGAAGGCTTGGTTGGCCCGGGCGACTCACGACCCAGGATTTGATCCCCGGACCGCTCGCGTGGTAAGCGTGCCACTTGCCACTACACCACTTCCGCCCTCCAAAAGTGGTAAATGTAAAAACCACATGATTT